GAAGTGGCCTGAGGCCCCCCGGCGACAGCAGCAGGGTAGGAGGTGGAACCTGCACAGCATGGAGCAGTGGAAGCCTGGGGTTCCATCTGGAGACATGGGTTCTAGTCCCGCTTGCTGTGTTTTTGGGACATGTCACTCCATCTCCCTGGGTTCAGCCTCCCTGGGGAAGGAGGCTCTCTTCACCCTTCCCCAGCCTGGCCCTCACAAATGATGATGCCAAAACAGTATCCTTCATGTGTGGGGTTAGCAATAGGGGTGCTGGTCAGACAGAGGATAGAGGCAGGGCCTCTGGCATCGTGGGGAGCCTGGATCTTGCTCTGCAGTCTGGGAGAACCCAGGGAGAACCCTGGGCATGGGACGAAGAGGCAAGAAACCTCTCAGGCTAGATGACGGCCTCTGTGGGCTCACACCGTCCTCTACCCTAGGAGAGGCCAGGGCAAGGTATGTACCCTGCTGCTTCCTCCTTGTCCTCCTCCGAGGCCTCAGGCAGTCGCCCAGTTGGGTCACTCTTCACCAGCGTCAGACCTGGCACCTCGGCATTGAGGGCCAGCTCTTGCCCACAGGCTCTAGAGGCTCTGAGGGAGACCAGGGTCCTTCCGCCTCCTGTGACAGTTTGCACAGGATGCTCCCTTTGGAAAGATGGTTAGGGACTCGCAGCTTACAGAAGAGGAACCAGAGGCTTGGAAGAGATGACTGTTCCTAGGTGGTCAGTGCCAGGGCCTGGCCAAAGCCCACTTCTCAAGCTGTAAGTCCATGGAGTGTTCCACCAGAACATCATTCCTCAGTGAGCACAGCCTCTGCCTGTCCCCAATGCCACACACACACATCAAACATATACATCAAATATACGCGCACGCGCACACACACACACACAGTTCTGCTGCCCCCACTCCAGTCAGCAACCTAGGCTGGGCACAGGCGCGAGGGGTTGTCTCTGCATGGGGGCTTGGGAGTGCCCCACACACATTTCATTGGGTGTGGGTAACCAGGCGCCCTGGCCCCCCTCAACTCTGGATGGGTCTGTGCCTGGCCCTGCTGACTTCTGCCCTGAGATGAAGCTGTAGACACAGACTGTAGCGTGGAGTCTTCCTTGGGTCTCTATTTGCACACCCAGCATCCCACCCAACCTGGAGAGAAAGTGAAGAGAAAGTGAAGAATGCCCAAAATTTGATGTTTCCAAGATCCTTCAGGTGGACAGTGCAGCACCGCCCAAGGAGCACTAGGGCATGGAGTGTGGTGGAAAATTCTGCAAGCCAGGGGGCTGGAAACCAAGTCCTGCTATGGCCATGACCTTGTGGCGCTGAATGACAAAGCACCTGCTAGGTGCCTCGCAGGGCAGCAAGTCCTCGGGCCAGAGGCAGTTTTCTGCCCACTTCTTCACTACTCAGCAGTCCAGAGGCTGCCCTACCATTTGGGCTCCCCTCTCTGGCTTTCAGGTGGCTTGGCCAACGGGACAGGCTGACAGGAGTCTGGACAGTGGGGAGGAGCAAGAGGCCAGGGTAATTATTCCCCCAGCATCCTCCCTCCAAAGCTTCCACTTTTAGCCATAGCCCCACTGGTCCTGATTACTACTCTGTCCCTACCCCTGGAGCCCGGGACTGATAACAGCTGTGCTTCACCGCCCCTTATCAGCTTCCCAGAGCCCGCAGCTCTGTAAGTAGTCCCCTCATTAAACTCTCTTCCAGCTGCATCTTTCCTGGTACATGCTGTCAGTTTCCTGCCGGGAGCTGGACTGATCCAGCAGTTGACAGATGTTTCTTCATCCTGCCAGGTGCCAGCTTGGGATCCAACTCCATGACACAGGGTGGCTCCTGCCACATGCCAGAATGTCCCCGCCCTTCTCTCCAGAGGCCCAGTCAGTGAGAGGAGGAGGAATTAGAATCCAGGTCTCCTGACTCCCAGAGCAAGGCTCCTGTCACTCCACTCCCTGGGGCTTCTTGGGCCTGAGATCTTGAGACAAGTCTGGTGGTGGAGGAGGTCTTGAGCAAGAGAGGCTTGAATCCTCTTCCTGGTGGCACCCATTCACTAGGGCAGCAGGTGCCCCAGCAACACCAACTCACCAGTGTGGGTGGAGGGGCCAGGATATCAGGTTCCCAGGCACCTGCAGCGTCAGTGAGCATGCAGCTCCTGGCTTCCCATGGGCGCCACTGAGTCAGCAGTCAGGGGCTGTGGGTAACACTGCTGTCCCCTTTGCCAGCTTATAGGTGACAGAGGCTTCTATAGTCACTCACCGCTGGATAACTACTACCCTTTTTGTCCTTCACACACTTTCATAATCAATCCCTTATATTTAAATTCCTTCCATTGGAAACACGTAGAGTGGTTTCTGTTTTCTTTTTTTTTTTTTTTCTTTTTGAGACAGAGTCTGGTTCTGCTGCTCAGGCTGGAGTGAGGTGACGTGATCTCGGCTCACTGAAACCTTTGCCTCCCAGGTTCAAGTGATTCTCCTGCCTCAGCTTCCCCAGTAACTGGGATTACAGGTGCACACCATCACACCCAGCTTAATTTTTGCATTTTTAGTAGAGATGAGGTTTCACCATCTTGGCCAGGGTGGTCCCGAACTCCTGACCTCAGGTGATCCACCCGCCTCGGCCACCCAAAGTGCTGGGATTACAGGCATGAGCCACTGTGCCCGGCTATTTTCTTGACTAGTCACTCACTGATATCTGTTAGCCCAGGACTAATAATAGCTGTGCTTCACCACCCCCTTATCAGCTTCTATCTCAACTACGTCCTAAAACATAGCTCACTCTAAAACCAGAATTCACGTTAAAGACAAGGTAAGATTATTCACTACGCTCCAGCACTACTGAATTCCACTGTTGTGATTTCTCTCTCTCTCTCTTTTTTTTTTTTTTTTTTGAAGAGATGGAGTCTCACTCTCACCCAGTCTGGAGTGGAGTGGCATAATCTTTCACGGCAGCCTCAAACTCCTGGGGTCCAGCAATCCTCCCACCTCAACCTCCTAAATAGCTGAGACAAGTGTGTGCTACCATGCCCAGCTAATTTTTAAAGATTTTTTTAAAAGATAGGGTCTGGCTATCTTGCCCAGGCTTGCAATTTATAGTGCTCCAGACACCCTCATTGGTAGCTGCTTCTGATAAATTCCACACTATGGCCAGAAGATGGCAGCAAACCACCAGCTTCAGCCACTCACCTGTGGCCCAGGACACCGGACCGTTTCCAAAATCTGAGCTTCACATTCCTAGACCTGCAGAGGTTCTCTTCATGGCCACCTGGACAACTGGCAAACCATTCTGTTTCCTTACACGTGCACATATCATCCAGATAACTGAAACTCTTATCAATAAAACCCCAACATCACAACCAGGGCATAAATTCTCTTTCAAACATCATGGTGATATCCTTATCTTAGATTTTTGGTAAACATTTGGAATTGGATAAACCATCATCCTTAATTAAGACAGAACACTTTCTCTTTTTTTTTTTTTTTTTTTGAGATGGAGTTTCGCTCTTGTTGCCCAGGCTGGAGTGCAGTGGCACAACCTCGACTCACTGCAACCTCCGCCTCCCGGGTTCAAGCGATTCTCCTGCCTCGGCCTCCGGAGTAGCTGGGATTAGAGGTGCCCGCCACCACACCCGGCTAATTTTTTGTATTTTTAGTAGAGACGGGGTTTTGCCACATTGGGCAGGCTGGTCTCGAACTCCTGACCTCAGATGATCCACCTGCCTTGGCCTCCCAAAGTGTTGGGAATACAGGCGTGAGCCACTGCGCCTGGCCAACAGAACACTTTTAAAGAGAGATCCATAAAACATCACCAGTCAGCTGACCTAGGTGGTTTGGGTGTATCTGTTGTTCAATGTGCCATCCTTAGGGAACCCGGTGGAGGAAACACATGCATCAGCAGCCATTGGTGCCCAGCAGAACACAGCTGGGTTCCCTGTATCCCCCAGCACAGCCCAGAGCCACCTGTTGGCACTGGCCAATGGGATCGAGTCCTGACCATTGGGAAGGTTTCAGGTGGCTTCTAAGAATTCCAACATTCATGAGCATAAATTCAGTTGTTATCTTAATTAGCACATGACTCTTTCAGTATCAGAAAATTAGTAAAAATATAGAACTCCTGAGTCATGTAACCATTTGGACAATTATTCCAATTTTTAAGTTGGTGAAAGCTCTTTTTAATAAAGCAAATCACTCCATAAAATGCCTTAAGGAGCCCCGGGTGGTAATGAGAAACAAAGGCCCTTTATATGCTAACAGGTTTGTGAAAAATGTAATAATGAGGGCACACTTTCGTTGCAGTCTTAAGAAAAAATTAGGAAAAAATTGATCAAACTGAATTACAAATGTTCTATGCAGCAATTGTGGCCATAACCCAAGTTAAGTGATCACAAATTCTTGCTGGTGTTGGAATCTCCATTCTTGGTCATGGTTTGGAGCAAAGACAGAATTTCCTATCTTCTTGTGCCAGGTTTTTCTTCTCTATGTCTATATAACAATGTTCTGTGGCAGCCGAGCCATGACTCAGTGAGTGACTCAGAGCACGTTCAGTACTCACCCCTCCCGCGGGCATGCACCCAGGCGTGCAGGCACATGGCCCCCCTCTCCTGGGAGCCTTCACCTGCCCCTAAAACCTGCATGGGCCTGAACCTGGAACAGAGAGGCCTCTGTAACAGAAGCACGGCTCTGTCGAGGTCTGTGATGCTGACCAAGGCTGTTTCCCTCTGTGCCTGCTTGAAGTCCACCCCAAGTGGATTTCCCATTCACCCTGCTCCTGGAGATGGTCAAGATGGAGACCCATTCCACAGTTTGGCCAGAGCAGCCAATGGGGGAGAGTCAGGACCATTCTGGGTGGCTACAAAAACCTGGCCAGAGCATCCAAGCTCACATGCTCCCAAATGATGGCACCTGGCTGCTGACCTGACTGTGCTCCCCACATCCAGCAGAAATGGGAAAGAAGGGACAATGAAGCCACTGCAAAGAATAGCAGCTGTGACTACCCCTGGCACAGACAAGACCAACATGGCTCCTTAGGGACAAGGACTTTGTGGATGGCTTTATTTAGGGCCAAAAAGAGGCAGGGGATAGGAGTCCTCCTGGAGTTCTATCAGTCTCTATATCTCCAAACACTCAATGAAGACCCTGAGGGGAGGATGGGTCTCTGTGCCAAATGAGAGGAAATGCTAAGGGTCACTGGGTTATGAAGGGTAAGCAGAGGGCCAAAGGGATGAGCCCTCTGAAGGCCTCAAGGCAGAAGGGCCCTCCTCTCATCTGCCAGGCATAGCTGCCACCCTATCTCTTCTGTTCCATGGGGGGCTGGCCTTCTGCTAAGGCCGAGGGTGGTCTCAGTCAAGAGGGGCATCAATCCCCTGCCCTACAGACCCAACTAGCAACATGAGAGCAGGTAAGACAGTCTCCAAGCTCACCTCCAGCTACAAATCAGGAAGAACCATATAAGGCGGACTTCATGGAGGCAGACAGTTTAGGAGCCGGCCCTAGGATGCCCTGATTTGGAAAGCAACACAGAAACCCTAAGTCCAGGAACAGGACCATGGAAAAGAGCCCTCGAGACCCCCTCTGCCTAGAGTTGCCTGTAATTATGTCATCCTTTCCTAGTCCCTTTCAAGATAAATAGAACATGAGTGGAGAAGTGAGAATAAGCAAACTGCAGATAAAGCAGGCCCCCCTGAAGAGACTGCAGACCCCTCTATCTCAGTCACCAGCTCTGCCCCAGATGGGGTTCTTACTTCCTTCATGGAAGCCTTCACCCCACCAGGCCCTGCCCAGGAGTCAAGGAGAGCCTCAGCCAGCCCTGCAGTCTGGGATACGGTGGGGGACCATGAGACTTCCCCAGGGCGCAGATACTACATCCCCCTGGTACCTGTCAGGCATAGCTGCCATCCTCCTAGTAGCTGGGGGCTGGGCCAGGCTCACACATCAGACTCAGTGCAGTGTGTTATCCTTTAATGAAGAGCTGGGTCAACTGAGCCACCACTCTCCCCAAGACCCCCCTGCAGCAGATGGCCCTCACCATGGCTCCCTGTGAGGCAGGGTGGCCCTGTGACAGCCAGCCCTGCTGAGGGGTCAGTCTGCAGTGGCCTAGGAGAGGCATTCAACTCTTAGACCTAGGATGTGGCAGCAGCAACGAGGCCAGAGGCAGCTCAACTGAGGTCAGGAATGGTGGAGGAGGCAGACAGGAAGTATGGGGCTCTCCTCCTTCCTCTCCGAATCCCAGTGCAGCCAAGGCCAGTGTTCAGGAACAGCACAGTCTCCCCAGGGGCCTGGAGGCTCTTCCGGCCACTCTCTGGAAGCCCTCAGTCCCCAACTCCCTGCAGACCGGTGTCATAGGGTCCCTGGACTCGGGAAGCAGGCTAGGTCCTACCCCATGAGCCTTGAGGCCCCTGGCCTAGGAGGTGGGTCCAGCAGGGCCAAGGCCAGAGCCACCAGGAGACTGTGAGTCACCTTCCACTAACTGCTTGTCAGTCACTACAGGCACCTAAGAAGGTGGCCTCTCCCCCCGAGGTTCCAGGGCTGCCCAGGCCGGGCTGAAGCAATAGCAGGCCGTGGCTCCTGGGTCCCTATAGATCTGTGACCTTGTTTTCCACAGCAGCTGCAATCTGCTGGAGCCGATAGCCCAGCTGCATTTTCTGGGCCGTGCCATCCTCCTCCAGGGCAGTGATGATCTGAAACAGAGACCGATGCCATCAGGGGGAGACTTCTTTGGCCAACGTGTTTGCTGCAAAATTCAACAGCCCTCCTAAGACGCTGTGGCACAAGTGGGATAGGAGGCCAAGAAACCCAGCCAGTCACTTCACGTACTTTCTGTGACCTCAGGGCCTCGCCAGCAGGAGGGGTAATAACATCAAAGCCACCGTTTCTGGACGAATAAGGTAGGAAATGAAGGACCTGACTCAGTACCGAGCCCCTCAGAAGCCCTGATGCAGCCATCCTGGCTCACCCACCCGCCCGGCAACAGCATTTCCCAAGTTCCTATCTGCCTGGTGCCAGACAAGGGGCAGAGACCCAAGAATGACCAGACACATGTGCTGAGAAAACAGACACTGATCAAACACCAACCACAAATTGGGGGCTGCCACCAAGGGAGCCAGTAGGAACCGGAGGGCAGCAGCACTTTGGAAAACAGCCACTGCCCACTATGTCTCCACGAGGGGACATGCCTGCATTACACTCTGCCTCCCCCATGCCCCATGCCATGGCCCATACCATGCCCAGGAAGACTGTGGGCCATGAGGCAGGTTCCTCATCTCTGAGCAGCAACAATCACTTCACTGGTGCCACACAAACATCTAAGTGGACTATTCCATCAGGCACCCAGCAGGTTGACTGGCAGGTGCTCAGCTCTTCAGGCCCAGCCCAGGGATCGTCCAAAAAGATTCACCAGCTCCAGTGTACCCTCACACCCCAGCCCGTGTGCCTGGACTCTCCTCTTCTCAGCTCATGCAGCCAAGCCAGGCCTGCACCTGCATGTTGGCCATGCCCAACATGCTGCCAACTCAGCAAATGCATACCACCTCCAGGCCCTGGTAGACCCCTTGGCCCCCACAACCACCACAAGGCACCAGCACTGTGCCTCGCCATCCTGCTGGGGAGCCGGAATGGGGAGTGGTGGGACAAGTGAGAGTACAGTCAATGCCAGGAAACCCACCTGGAGAACACTTCCCAAGCCGCCCAGGGGCCCGGTCCCCCACTATGCTGCTCCTGGGGAAGACCAAAGCCCCCACCATGAGTCACAGGGTCAGAGCCCCTTAAGTCTCCTGGGATGCCTTGGGTCAGCCTCCCAGTTGGGGCCCAGGGCCTGCCCACCTGGTCATAGTACTTGTTGATGTACTTGTAGAGTTCATGCAGGGCCACTCGCGCCCCGAGGTCTCCAGAGTAGTTCTAGGAAAGAGGCCAAATGAAAGGTGAGAGAGATGAGGGGTACAGACAGCCACAGGAGGTGGCCCAGGACCCCAGGGAAGGGTTGGGGGAGAAGGGGACCTGAGAGGTAGGGAATGGGATGGGCACTACAGTGGGAAGCAGAGTCCCCTCCATGGCCCAGGGACCCCAGGCCAGGCGTGCCAGATGGTGACAGAACAGGGCAGCGCCAAGAGGGTCTCCGTGGTAGGAAGACAGCTCAGGTCTAACTGCTTCAGCAAGGTCTGGGGTTTCCACTGGAGCCCTGCCTCTCTCAATCCCTTAAGGTTCTAGCCCAGACCCTCTGCCACCCAGGTGACTCCAGAGCCAAGTGGCACTGATGTCATTTGCAGGCTGACAGCCCAGCATGATTCTGCTCTGGCCTAACTCAAGTATTTCCTGAGGTCACTCTCAGGCCCCTCCATGGGGACATCTCTGAGCCTCAACTTCCTCACCTGGATGATGGAGTCAGTGTCACTTAACTTGTGGAGTTCTTGTGAGGATCAAGTAAGACAATCAAAGCACCCCATGAAGGGCTTCACACACAACACCCCAAAATTACAGCTGCTATTAGTGTTGTGGTTGTGGCTGTCATCACCATCAACATTTCAGAAACATTGTTCGTAACTCCCTGGAGTTACATTTTAGGGCTGTTTTAGGAATGGGGGAAGTGGAGGGGACACCTGTGCCACCAAGGGAGGCACAGCAGTGGGAAGACGCACACAGGCAGACCCAGGCAGGCCTGAGGCTGAATCCCAGCTACCTTACAAGTGCCTGGCTGAATCAGGGTATATGGCAGCTGCCAGGACAAGACCCCTGCTTGTTCTGTGATGAGATGGTGGGAGCTCTGGTCTTTCAGTGGCAGTTGGAACATTCTGTACTTATGTTTCCTGCCCCAACCAGCTCACAGGGCTACTGAGGTTCCCAAGGGCTTCCTTGCAAAGGGGCAGTGTGAAGTGGACAGGACCGTTGTGGCAGGAGGCCTATGCCCAACCCAAGAAGCAGAGGGAGGCCTTACCCAAGACAGCTCAGCCAGGACAGAGTTCATCTCTTGGTCGCTGGCTGGGACAGCCTGTCTGATGTCTGCATAGTACCTGCCAGAGAGACAGGGCACAGCAGCTGCTGGGTAAACAAGCCCACTCCCCGAGTCTCAGCTGCACACACCCTCCAACCTCTACCCACAGCACCCTCCAATACCTTTCCACCATCTGCTTGTACCGGGGGATGTCCCGTGCATACAGAAGTTTGTTGATCGGGGAGTCCTGGACATAGCAGGAGGACAGAAAAGAGGAAGGAAGGAAGGATGATCACCTGTTCGAGTGATCAAGTGTCCTGGGTTTCCCAGCACTGCTTCAGTTTTGAAAAGAAAGTCTCACATCCCAGGAAGCCCCTGAGTCCCAGAAAACCAGCTCAGGTGGTCACCCTAGCATACTTCCTTCCGCAGAAGCCTCCACTGCTCCCTCCCCTCCACCAACGTCCAGCCTCTGATGTCATCAGAAATAATTTCTCGGCTCCACATGCCTCCATCTAGATCCAGCAAGAGCCCGGTATGCAGGGCACGAAGCTGCTGTTCACTCCCAGGGTCATCATTTTAAAAGTGAGTGAACTGAGACCCAGAACATTACCTAAGCGGCCACAGACCACTTCACTCCCCAGTGGCTGAGCTAGGATTTGAAGCAGGTCTGTCCAGTCAGTTTCCACCACTTTAACACACCTAGACACAGCCTCTACCACTGAACTGGGTTCAAGTCCCAGCAGCCATGGGCTCTGGGCAGCATACTTCTGTTCTCAGGACCTCTCCTCATCTTAGAGCTGCTGGGACTCGAGGTGGCACTGCCCACCGTGAGCAGGGACCCAAGGCCAGCTCCTCTTGTCAACCTGAGTCAGGATTCGCACCTTCTCGACAACTCCCCATGGGGGAACCCTTGGCATTCCTGGTTGGGGCTACTCCTGAGCTACCCAGGAACCATCTGCTGTTCTGCTGGGAAGGGTAGGTACTGGGAAGATCTGGTAAAAATCCCAGCCACCACATAGGGTCTACCCTGGAGGTGGCCCTGCGGGTCCTGGTGTGGCCCTTTGGTTCTTAGCTCATTATAGGCATGATGACAGCATCTGGATGAAAAATGGCTCCCAAAAGACAGTGCTACAATTTTGAACAGAACTTTCTGTTTTTTTGTTTTCAGACGGTCTCGCTCTGTTACCCAGGCTGAAGTGTAGCAAACAGCGCAGTCATGGCTCACTGCAGCTTCAACCTCCCAGGCTCAAGTGATCCTCCCACCTCACCCTCCCTCGTAGCTGGGACCACAGGCGCACACCACCACTCCTGGCTAATTTTTGTATTTTTTGTAGAGACGGGGTTTTGCCATGTTGCCCAGGCTGGTCTCAAACTCCTGAGCTCCTCAGGCGATCTGCCCACCGCAGCCTCCCAAAGTGCTGGGATTCTAGGTGTGAGCCACCGTGCTCAGCTAATTTTGATTTTTCCCAGAGGTGTAGGGAAGTATCTCTCAAGAGGTCCCTCGCCGACTGAGACCTGGGGGTAAAGGCTAAGCAGAGCCCCACTCATGGACCTGCAGAATTACACGAGGGCCCTGCCCACTGGATGCCTGAGCAGACACCTTGGGGACCTCATATGTCAGGGAACTCCCGGCTTTGACTGCTGTGACAACAGACTCCCAACCTCTGTGCTCCCGGACAGCTCCGACTACTCAGTCTCCTGTACTTCCCAGCTCTCCTCCTCACACATCCCTCAAACCGTGACACCCCCTGGACTCTCTTCCCTACTGCCCTACTGGCAGGCAGACACCTCCAGCACCCTAAGGAACCAAACCCACCCAGCAGCCCAGGGCTGCTCTGGGATTGAACAATCCATGTCTCTACCTGGAAACCCCACAAACACCAGACTCACCTCCTCCAAGTCTGAGCTTACCATAGCCAGAGGCCCAGGGATCATGTGTGACCCCCCCTCCTTCTTCCTCATCCCCCACATCCAACCTTCAGCTTCTGCCTGCCCTGCACCCTCCTGCCCAGCTTGAACCCAGCCGCTGCTTGTCAGAAGGACAGCACAGCGCCCTCGTGGGACTCCCTCACTCAGCTCATCCATGCACAGCAGCCACAATGTTCCACAAACTCTCAGGTCTGGTCACACCACTTCCCTGTTCCCAGACTTTCTGTGGTTCCCACTGCCACAGGAGTGAGTCCTGACCAACTGGCCCTGGCCTACTTCCACGCCTGGCCAGCACTCTATGCCCCAGCCACACCAGGCTGCACTTGCTGCCCACAACTTCAGCTGTGAATTGGCACACAATGCCCCAACCTCTTGCTCATCCCTTAAAACGGAGGCGGCCCTGGGATGAAGCCTTGGCTTGGAAGGTCAGAGGTCTCCCCGAAGTCCTCCTTGAAGTTCTCAGAAGCCTAGAATCTGAGTGCACACACAGCACTGTCCACCCTCACCCATCCCCCTCCACATCCATCCCAGACTTGCTCACCCGGCCCAGCTTGTGGTCGGCCAGGGTGCAGGCGTCCATGAAGGTCTGTGCAATGACAAGGAGCACCGCATCCATGTTATCAGATGTTTGCACGTCGAACACAAACTGCGGGTTTTTTATTATATTGATCCAGAACCTCAGAGGCAAGCTGCGGGTGGGGCAGGCATGGCCAATGAATGTGCTGGGGAGGCACAAGAGAAGACCCCCCACACACACCCAGAGCCCACCCAGCACCACCCTACCTGTTGGTCTTCCAGATGTGGATGGTGTCCTGGTCGGAGATGCCATGCTGCTGGGCCTGCTCATCCAGCAGGTCAAAGAAGTACTTCACAGCGAGTGGCACGGGGCGGCTGGTGCTGAGAATCACCTGGAACAGGTCGTCCACAAACTTCTGCAGGGTGCCCTGTGGGAAGGGGGAAGCAGAGAGGTGTGGTCAGCAAAGGGCCCTCAGCAGCACCCAGCCTCAGACACCCCCGGCACTGTACCTGCACAAACCCCACAGCACCCCCAAATCCCACGAGTGGCCATGCTCCCCCTCAGCCCAGGCCCCACCACCTTGGCAAGCCCCACCCCACCTTCATGGACAGCAGGCGGGTCAGGTAGATCTCAGGGATGGCCTTGGCACGCTCACGCTCCCCGCCCCGAAGGCTGCCCCTCCGAGGCCTGGGCGGCTCCGGCTCATCACTTGGTTTCACCAGGTGCCAGGGCCGGATGCCCCCCTCATCTACATCCTCCAGCATTGGGGTCCCTGTGCCAAGAGCCCACAGCTGTCACCCTTCCCCAGGTGCCACTTCCCCAGGCCCCCTGGTTCTTGCCAGCTCTCCCAGGGGTGGGGGCACCTGGTTGAGAGCTTCCCTGGGCAGAAAGGAAATAGGCACAAGCCTGCCCTGAGGCCCAGAGGACCTTCCCCCTGACTCTGGGCTGAGCACAGCAGGGACAGAGGGCCGTGTTGGGGGCAGTACTCACGCTCTCCAGGGACATAATCCTGGTTTTCCCGGAGCACATGCTTGGTGAGGCAGGGGACGAGGGCCACAGTTGCTCCATCCGGGACCTGCTGAGCACAGCTGGTAATCCCTCCACCAGCCCCAGCTCACCATGCCCTCCTCCAGCTCCCACCCCTCCTACCTTGTAATGCTGCAGTGTGTTCAGGCGCCTCCATAGACCCTGGACCTCAGAAGTGACATCCTCATCAGAAAGAATGAGGTGTCCAGCCACCCCAGACCGCCATTCTGCAAGGGCAAGGCAGAACTGGGTGCAGGGCTGGAGGATACCCTTCCCACAGTAGAGCCCATCTCCTCCTCCACGGGGACACCAGCCCCTCCATCACGGGGCAGTCATACTCAACCTCAACCTCTCCAAAGACCAAGAGCAGGACCCCTCCCCAGATGAGAGGCTGTCCAACAAAGATGTTCCAAAGCCGGCTTCTGCCCACCTCCCAGCATCCTCCCCACCCTGAGTGATGAGCTGTCCCTGCAGAGCTGGTCTGGGGCCAGCCCAGGCCCAACACTGGCTCAGGTCCCCAGGGGCTCTCCACGCCCTTACCAACATCAAGGGTGCGAGGGTCTGGCCGCTGGGTGAGAGACACTCCTTTATAAAGCTGGTCCAGCATCTTCTCCTTGGCCTGGGAGATGGTGTCACAGTCCAGAACCTTCACGGGCACACCCTGGGCCTCTCCTGCCTCAGGCCCCACAGCCAACAGTGCATTCAAAGTCTATGCAGGACACACAGGAGTCGTCAGGGTTCATGTACACTCAGGATGACCAAGACACAGACCAAGGGCAGGGACAACTCATGAGGGGCTGCTGCCTCTGACCCCCATGCACCACACATTCCCTAACTCTCGTCTCTTCACCTGCCTGCCTTCCCCAGGGACAGCAGCTTCCTCCCCATTGTGACCCCAGCACCTAGCGCAGAGCACTTGTAAATGACTACAGGGTAAATGGCAGAAAAAAAGGAGTGAGCACAAGTCTCTCATTACTCAGATCCCCAGGTTCCTGGCTGAATGGGCCAGGCTGAAGGAGCTTCGGGAAGCCTGCATGAGCCAATATTCCCACCCATCCAACAGGGGAGGGGTTCAGCAGGCCTTAATGGGGGTTTCCCGCAGGAACCCTTGTGCGTAACTAAGGGGAAAGCAACCCAGAGAGAAGACCTGCCAGAGTGGGGCTGGCTTGGTGGGCAAGGCCGCATCCCTGGTAGGAGGGCCAGGCCGACAGGTCAGGCCCTGGCACAGCTCAAGCCCATGGTCCAAGGTAGGGCTGGCTCCTCCTAAACCCTGGTTGTGGCTACCCTGGTTCCATCCCTAGTCTGGGGCACCTGGAGGCCTTATCATCAAGGTCTGCTCTAAACTGCCATCCTGCTAAACTAGTCTGATGGGCTCTCACCAGCAACCAGCCAGAGGTCACCCCGCTCTACATCCAGGTACCCACATCAGAAGCTGGTGTCCAGAGCCCACACACCCACACACTCTCCACCCTCGCCCTCACCGCACTCAGACTGCAGGCCACACACTTGCACACCCTCACCAGGGGACGGTACTCCACATCCTCTCTAAGTAGGCGGTTGTCATTCAAGGTGTATTTGGCCTTGCCTGTCACACTGTCCACTGGCCCCTTATCCACTTGATGCTTAATTCCTCGAAAGAGCATGTACAGAGGCTCCCCTACAGAGTCCTAGGAGAGCACAGGCAGTTAGGGCCCTCTCGGCAGGTGGCAGAGGTGTATGGGACATGACGCACACTGGGAAAGGGGACAGGACACGGGCTTAAGGGGACTGAGGACAGGCTGAGCAGGAGTCTCTGCTCTGGCACAAGTGTCCGAGCTGCAGGGTGGCTGAGGGCTTAGCAGTTTAGAGGGCCTGACCCTCCCTAGACAGGAGCCCTGTCCAGCTCTGCCCCCTCACCCTCACGAAGGTGTACAGACAGATGGACATCCAGTTGGTGAGCAGCTTCTCCACCACAGTCTCTGTCCTGAGATGATGGGAAAGGGGAATGCCAGGGTCAGCAGGCGGGGCTGCGGGCCTCTCTATCCTGCAGACCCCCCAGCCTGAGGCCCCACCCCAGCTCCAGCTATCCAGGGCCACCCAGCCCCAACAGCCACACAGACCTCCGCAGCATCAGCTTGGGGTTCTTGGCCACATACTGGGCAACCAGGTCACTGAGGAGAGTGCGGAGGATGTCAGTGAAATACTCAAGCTTCCCATGCAGTGCCACAGTGAGCAGAGACGCCACGTAGGCACGGTCCCGAGCTGAGAAGGTGCGCTGGCTCTCCAGCGTGTGGATGAACTGCAGCCAAAGAGAGGGGGTGGGAGAAGGGGGTTGGGGGACAGAAGGGCGGGCTCAGAAACCACGCCCTGGAGAAGGGGCAGGGCCAGGGGCAGGCCAGGAAGATGCAGGTGGGGGCACCTTGGTGAGGAAGAGCTTGCTGTTGAGCAGGTTAGAGAGCTGCCCCAGCCCTTGCTCCACGGTGGGCCGTCTGCTCTCAGGCACACCCAGGTCCCGGTGCAAGGGCGACTCGCGGTGCCCGGGGAAGAAGATCCTCTCCGCATACACCTTGTAGTCGAGGAAGGGGATGCCACTGCCCAGGAGGTCACTGGTGAGATCGGTCATCTCGGTCATGAGGTCTGTTGAGCAGAAGAGGCCAGGTTTGGGCACCAATCCCATGTGATGGGAGCGGGTTTGGGCAGAGCCCTGGAGGGCAGGGCCCGTTCTCCTGGGCACACCTGTGAATTCCTTCTTGCAGCGGTCCCGCACGCTGCTCTCCAGATTCTCCAGCTGGATCTGAACCTTCTTATAGTCCCTCAGGGCCTGCTTGCTCTTCCTCCTGCTCAGCACCAGGGTCAGGAGGGGACGGCCGGATGAGTCCTACTGGCCCAGGCCTGCCTGACCTATCCCGAGGCACACCCTGGCCTCATCCACCACAGTCCAACCCAGCCATGCCAGCCAAGCTCAAGCCTAGCCCAGTACAATTCAGCCTTTCCCCTCCCAAGCAAGTCACAAACACCCGTGCCCCGTCTAGCCCAGCACAGTTTAGCCTAGAGATCAGTCAACCACAACCAGGCCAAATCCATCCCACAACCTATTTTTATAAATAAAGATTTGTTAGAACAGAGCCACATTCATGTGTTTTCATGTCGTCCCTGGCTGCTTTTGTGCCACAGTGGCAAAGTTGAGTTGTTGAGCAGAGACCACTTGGCCTGCAAAGCCTAAAATATTTACTCTCTGGCCATTTACAGAGAATGTTTCCTGACTCCTGGCCCAGTCTGTCCCTTCCCAGTCCAGCCAGATCCCACGACCTGCCCCAGCCCAGCCACATCTGGCTGCACCCACCTGTACATGAGGACAATGATGATGACACCCAGAGCCAGAAGAGAGGTGCCCACCCCCAAGCCCACCTGGGCTGCCACAGGAAAAGCCCCAGGGCTCTCGCCATCATACTGCACGTGACCCAGGGAGAAGCGCAAGTTTCCCATCTGCACCTGTGTCGGGAGCCGCCTGTAAGCAAGGGTTCAGCCCAGGTCAATGCCCAGCCCGGCCAGGGACCTGCCCACTGACCGTGAACTCAGGCAAAGAGTCAAGTGCCTCTCGGAGGGCATGGTGCTGTGGCAGGGGCTGCTCCACAGGGGGCTCGCAGTACAGGTGGTGCCGGGTCAGTGTCTTCACTACACAGGGGCCGTCCCCTATCATAGCCACCACCTCCTCCTTGGACATTGCAAGGTCCAGGTTCTCTCCCTGGAACAGAGGGTCACCGATCAATCACTCAGGACCCTTCCCTCAGATCCTGTCCTCCCCAAATGTGGGAAGGACCCTGAGACCCACTCCCAGCAGCAGGGCTGACAGCCTCTCAGCACCCGTCCCCTGCGTGCAGGCCAGTCACAAGGTGTCCTCCAAGCTGCTCCTCATCACCCTTGGCTGCCCTTTCCTATCTTTCTTCTCCAGAACGAAAAATCTGGAGAACATAAAGCTGTCTCCCAAACCCTGCCCAGTTACCTAACAAAGCCGGAGCCCCCACTCTGTGTCTGATGACTCACCAGGTGGGTGATGATGGCATATCGACCTGTGGTCTGCCCGCATGCCCGTCAGCTGCCCACTGTGTATGTCCAAGACACATGCCTAGTGCATGTCTATGTGAGCCAGGCTGCCAACTCGGGGATTAGCCCGATGGCCTATGTGGACCACGCCACCCAGCTACTGCACAGGCCAAACATACAAATGCAGTCATTCCAGAGCCTGCCATGGAGTGCATCAGGACCCAGGCCACCAGCCAAGCAGTCAAGCCCATGCCAGATCCTGGGCTAGGCACCCCCCACCAGCCCCCTCTGCCCCCGACACAGCAAAGATGAGGAGCCATGTCCATCCACCGGCCCTTGCTCTACGGTCTCGGCCTCTCTACCACACACAGTAGAGATGTCCAGCCAAGGGAAGGGTCTCGGGGCCCTGCCAGGTCCAAGTAGGAGCTGTACCTCCACAGAGAACACACTCCCAGGCTTGTGCCGGAATGGCATGGTGGGGTCCTCAGGGTTGAGTGGCTGCAGGGTGGGGTCAGCCTCGTAGGAGAAAGGTGTGGGGTTCAGTGTTGCAAAGTCAAAGATCAGGTTGTCAAGGATAAATTCCACCCGGACCCAGGGGTCCTCGGGCAGGCCTGGGAGGGCAGGTGTGCGGCATGTGATGAGCTGGGAGGAGTTGACATGGCATAGTTCCTCAAACTGGAAGGAAGACAGGCAGGTTGACGGGGGGCCAAGCAAAAATGGGAAGAGCCTCCTCTGGCACCTGCTCTGGCTATCCCCAGGGTGTGGTATGGGGCGAGGGGAGAGTGTGGGGTACCCAAGGGTGTCCTGCATGCTGGCTACTGCAGGAGGGTCCAAGAGAACACGCCGTCTCCGGGACCACGCGACGCCTCCGTCCAAGCCCCTGGCTGGGCTGCAGCATTCTCGAGACCACGGTCACCCGGATTCTTGGTGTCTGTACCACGTCCAGATTCTGGCCACGGACCAATATCTCACGTCCTCCACTGAAACAGACCATGAGCTTACGTAACATAAGATGGCTTATGTTACCTGGACCTAAAGCACAGCCCAGTCCCAGCTAGGTCAGCTCAGCCCCAGCCCCAAACCACATGACCCCCTGCCCCTACCAGCAGCATGGGATTCTCAGTGCCCCAACATAAAGCCCTACAAACCCCCACATAGTGGAGCTGCAAAGATCTCCCTGCCACCTGCCATGCAGCCACACCCTTGGCCCAACACCTGAGGAAGCTCTTGGTGGGGCCAGCAGAGGTGATGTTGGGGTCGAAGGTGTACTTGAACTGTCCACGTTGAAGCCTCCGCTCCGTGGCCCCAAACCACACAGCCACAGGGAGCGTGGCAGGTGCGGGGCATGGGCTGGTCTCACACCGCAGCTGTTCTGACTGCTGCCCCGGCAGCCTGGGAGGGGAGGTGGGAATGAATGGAGGGGCGCAGGCAGGGGAAACTTGGACCACTCAGGCCCCAGCTGGCTTCCCTCTAGTGCTGACTGCAGTCTCCACCAGGTGTCCCTGGAGGTGCACTCCCACCACAGCCGGCTAGGGAGGGTCCAGCCACTCTCTGAAGAAGCAGACTGGCCCTCTTCCCCTTTCTGCTCTCCCCAGGATCCCAGACCCCTCCATCTTTCCCCTGGAGCACATGGATTTTTGCAGGATGAGGAAGTGCCCCTCACAAGTGACAAGGCTGGTCTCCAACCACCACTCGGATGTCCTCCAGCCGCCCAGTCAGGAGCTTGGAGCCATTCAGGGTGAGATGGGTGCCCCCAGCTCTGGGGCCGCGGGTTGGGAAGATGGAATGGACCTTCGGGTCCTGTGGGAAGGAGGACAGGGAGAGAGATAAGCATCAGACCAGACACAGGGAGGCGGGGACAGCCTGAGAAACAGGATGGTCCAGGACTGGCAGCCCCACCAAGGCAAAACCAGATAGGTTGAGAGGAGTCACCAGAGGGGGTGGCCCGCTGGCAGCTGGGGGTGGCTCAGCAGTCAGGTACCTGGTAGGCAAAGTCGTGCTCTGAAACGCCACGTCCTCTTCCCAGCACCTCCACCGCTGCGGCGCCGGCCACCTCCTCCCCACTGGCCCCGGTGATGCACACGAGGCTGTAGGCACACAGCAGGCTAGGGGGTGCCAGGCTGCATCGACGGCCCCTCAAGCTTACCTGGCAGCCCCTCTCCCTGCCCCACTGTCAGGTGGTCTTCCCCTTCCCATCCTCCACAAGATTGACAGAGACCCTCTCTCACTTTGGAGGGAATTCTTTATGACACATCAGAAGGCCTTGGTATCTGAGAATTAATATTTGTGGTTTCAATCATTTAAGTTCAACCCCAGAGGCCCCCAACAAGGAAGAATTTATCTGTGGCATAACTTTACAAAGGGGCCCTGTTAGCCTGGTTGTGGGGTGAGCTGCTGAGCAAAAGAGTGGGCACAGCTAGCCGCCCATGTCCTCTGCCACGTCACATGCACAGTACCCACTCAAAGCATGGTAGAAACTTGATTTATTCAGGAAAAAGAGTCCCTGAAAGCCTCTAGTCAGACAGAGGAATACATGTGAAGGGAAAGTGAACCGTCTAAGAAAATGCTGGTTCTTAGCCAGAAAACAGAAGCTTGGGCAAATTAACTTCCAGAGTGTTAAGCCTGCAGTGGCTCAACTCAGTGACATTGTCACAGTTGTTGCAAACACTCTAGGAAGACACAAGTCACATGTGAGCCACGCAGGGGAGGCTCCAGACAGAATATATGCCAGTTGCTTCATAAATCACAAAGTCTTATGGTCTGGAACACTAACAGTCTAGATAGTCACTGTAAGTTCTCAGTCATAACACATTCAGGGGACACTCCATGCTCTAGCAGAGTGGTTCTTTATTTCAAATACAGATTCTGGGGCCCCACCGTGGGCCTCCTGAACCCAGATGTCTGAGGGGCAGTTAAGGATCTGCTCTGTGTTGGTTTGGGACAGGGTCTGCAGATTACCCTGATATTCAGCCAGGTTTGGGCCCTGCTGCTTGCGGACATCTCCTTAGGAATGTCCTGCACATGTACCTTTGGGGCCTGCAACCGCTGGCCAGGTTACCATAACCCAGGAGCCCCAGGAAGGCAGCAGGGGTCCCGAGAGACGACAGTGGAGTCTGGCCCTTGGCAGGTGTGCCTTTCTGAGGTGTGCCTTCCAAGTCTACCTTCCTGAGGAGCCTGGCGGCCCAGGACAATGCCTGGGGAAGAGTGAGCTGGTGAGAAGGCCAGCCCCTGAATTTATCTGTCTGATCTCAGGGTCCTGCTGCCACAGCTATTAATATATCCACAGTCCCTCAGAAGACCAGGTGAGCAGAGCAGGAAGCAGAGCCACCAGTCAGCTCTGGGCAGTGACAGGCCCAGGAAGGATTCCCCAGAAGCCCATGCCAGGAACTTACAGGTCTGGTGGGCGCCCAGGGTCTTCAGTGGCAACCCTGGCACTCAGGCATTGTGGCCAGAATCAAGGAACAGGGAGACAGTGGGGCAGATGAGCGGGGGATGGAGGCCCCAAGCAGAAAAGCCAACCGTGGAGGCCCCAGGCTGTGCCACGCTCCAGCTGGGTGCAGCCAGCTCACCTGCTAGAGACCTCATACTCCTGGGCAACCACAGCACAGGGCACTCCAGCCACCGTGACCATGCCCAGCACATCCTGCACATGTTGGCCCAGGTTGGAGCCCCTGATGGTGACACGGGTGCCTCCGTCTACAGGCCCAGTCAGTGGCTCCACCTGTTCCAGGACAAGGACTGCTCACCTCTACTCAACTGGAAAGGCAGCCCCAACCTCCCACCTTTGGGCCCCCACACCCTCCCTCTAAGGGCAGCACTGAGGAAGGGATGGCCAGCCTTTCAACAAACCGAGTGGATGAGGGGCGCTGGGCACTGGGTGGCCACAGCCTCAGCCTCACCACAGGCCTCCCGGGTCACACAACGTGGACGCTCCCCCTCACACCACACACAGCCATACTGGGGCATGGCGGTTTGGCAGCGGCTGCAGTCTCCATGTCCCACGGAACAGTCATACAGTACCACTGGGGGTGGCAGAGACGCACGTGAGAGGCAGGCCTGGGAGAGCCCTGCTACCGCCGCCAGCCCAGCAGCCCGCAGGTGGCTCACCATGCAGCCCCTCAGCACTGTCCACACGCAGACGGCCGGCCCGACGCAGAAACAGCCCCACACGGAGCTCTGGCTGCAGAGCCTCATAGCTGAGCTGGAGAAATTGGAGTGGGTTCAGAGTCAAGCACTGGGGGAAGCGTCAGGCCTGGGGAGGGGGTAGTCAGAGAAAGGACTAAAATGACCAGTTAGGAGCATAGGGTCAGAGGGACCCCATGGGGCCACAGGTTGGAGGGCAGAGCCAGAAATGGAGTATGGGGACCCCATGGGGCCTCAAGTTACAGGTCAGAGCTGGGATGCAAGGACTCTATGGGGCACATGGTCAGAGGTCGGAAATGGGTGTGCAGACTCCCTCAGGGCGACAGGCGCTCATGGTGTGCACCTGGTGCTGCTGGCAGGTGACATGGCACTGGCTATCTGGAGGTGGCTCACACTCGACCCGGGCCTCAGCCACCACCTCAAGGCCCTCCAGCTCCATCACACACTCATTTTCTCCTGGGCCGTCCTGAGGGCAGAGAACACAGCTGTTTGGGCAGTTTCAGGAGCTGGGTCCAGGGAGTCCTGTAGGTCGCCCAACAGATCCCCCAGCACAGCCTCTGGGTTGGAGTTGAGCCCTCAGACTCTGCCCTCTTCCTGCTCCCCAGGGCTTGTGCAGAGTTTGTCAAAGCTAAGGAGGCTGCAAGGACAGCGGCAGGCAGGACACACTGACCTGGAAAAGGTGAAGGTTCCTGCCTAGCAGCCGGATTTCCCGCTCCACATGGACCGGCATCAACGTGGAGCCCTGAACGCTCTCTACACAGGGGCAGGAGCTTGCCCCCGAGGTCACCTCTTCCTGCAGGCACCAAGGGCAAGGCAGTCTATGGAGCCCACCCTGCCCAGCTCAGCCCTCTGCCTTGCCAGATTCCAGGGGCAAGGCCTGTGTGGGGCTGCAGACTCCACCCTGCCCCTCGCCCCCTCCCAGTGCAGAATCACAAGGCAAGCTAGGGGTAGCATCTTCCCCACATCCCCTCCCCTGAGGCCTCCTTCCTGGGCTGGGCCTCACCAGCTCCCAGAGCCCGGGGGTGTCATACTGGTAGTCGAGGCTGGACGGGAGGATGAGGGGGGCGGGAGGGCCCTCAAGCTCTGCTGAGTCTCCATCACCTGAGAGGAGGGTGGAAGTGGAGAAGGCGGGTGCGTCACCCCCCGTCCACTCGTCCGCCTCGGGCAGCTCGCTGCCTTCTCTCGTCAGCCAGTCCAGGGCGGGCTTCACGGAGCCCATGGCCCCTGGGAAAGTGGTGGCAGGAACAGTGGCAGGGGGCAGGTCCAGGGGCACTGTGGGAGGAAGGGCCTCAGGGCCAGGGTCTGCAGGGGGCACTGCTGCTACCTCTGAGGGTGACAGCGGGGAGGCCAAGAGGTCCTCAGGTGTGGCTGTGGGTCTGAAGTCAGTGGGGGCAGGGACAGTGGTTCCAGGTCCATTTGGGGGGTTGGGAGGGGAGGGTTCCTCATGGAGAGGCGACTCTGTGGAGCTGAGGGAAGATATGGGGCCAGAACCTGCCCATGGCCCCCAGGGGCTGAGCAGGGAAGGACTGGCCCCAGGTGAGATATCCAAAGTTGTGGCTGTGGACGGAGCCCCAGGCTCCACAGGAAGGGTATTAGGAGCAGGGGTGACTAGGGCTTTGGGGGCTGTGGGTGGGGAGGGGCTGGGTCCGTCTCTTGCAGGATGGGCTGGGGAGACAAGGGGGCTCTGAAGGGGGAGGCAGAGGAAGACAGGAAGGGCCACTCAGCAGGCAGGCGCGGGACAGGATGCAGGCAGGCACAGTGTATGTTAAGAGGAAAGGAGACCAAGGAAAAGAGAAATAAAAACAGCCCATTAATTCTCCACAGGAGAAAACTGTGGGGGAAGGCTCCAGGGGTGTCTGTGCCGAGGTGGGGCATGAAGGCCAGACCTCCCCTGCCTCTCAGCTACAAACGCCCTCTCCCAAAACAGGCGGGATGTATCGGCGGCTGTTCTCCAGGGAGTCCGTTACACACAGCGGCTCTGGTGCACAGGACAGAGCCTCACATAGGCAGACAGACCCCAGGCCATAAGAAAAACTCTCACACTGGGACCCCCAACCCACCCCCGTATGGCCCAGCCCAAGGTCACACTCACCTGATGGCTTGCAACCATGGGCCCGGTATCACACGAGGCCTTGTGTGTGCACAGGTGCTGCCAGACACACCAGTTACACCCCCAGCGGCTGCTCACACAGGCCTGGCACCTGCACAGAGCACAGCCATGGGGCAGGGGTCGCCATGGGGAAGCCCAGGCCTGGGGACAGGGCGAGGAACTCACTGCGCAGATGGGCGGAGTTCAGCGACCGCCACACAGTCATAGAAGGAGAGAGAAGTTTTGGCGATCACAACGGCGCCAAACCTGAGCTCCACGCTCACGGAGACGTGGTCTGCAGAAGGGGAGAGGGCCAGGGTTAAGCAGCAAGGAGGTGCACTCAGACCCAGAGCCGATATCCTGAGCCCTTGAATGGGGAAGACAACCCAGGGTGAGGGAATACAGTCCAAGGGCACAGAATGGAGGCTTCAGGTGGTTGGGGAGTGGGAGGACTCAGAGAAAGGCATTCATTCATGGCTCTTTGCCTGGATTCACACCTTAACCCCACCGCATCCCTTGGAGCAGGGGCTGGCCTCCCCCAAGGCTGGCCCATTCTCTCACCCACCGGCTCCTCTTGGCAGCACTGGGGCCTCATTAGGGTCTGGGGAGGGGCACATCACACCAGAACCAGTCAGCAGGGCAGGACTCTGATGTTCCCCAAAGTGGCAGGAATATGACTCCCCTGGCCACAGTGGTGGCAGGTCTGGCACTGATAGGAAAACCTGCCAAGAGAGCCAAGGACAGACACACTGTTGGGGCTAGTGGGCAGCAGACCAGGGCTCACATTTATGGGGCACCCAATGTGGACAGGTACCAGCAGTTAACAGACCTCAGGCCTCCCCAAACGCCCTCTAGCCTGAGTTAGAAATACATGGGCAAACTGAGCTCCTAAAAGAAGTGACTTGTGTGAGGCCATGTGGTATCTGACATGTCTGACACCAGGATCTAAGATCTCTACCCAGACCTTGATGCCCAGAGCCCTCCCCACCAGGGCCCTCCCTATCTGATCATTCACCTCCCTCGTTTCCTCTCGGCTGATGTTGGCAGGACTCATGGCTGCCACTCGCAGACAGCCCAGCTCAGACTGGAAGCTCCATAGCCACTGCTCTGGGCCCTGGCCCCTTGAGCACTCAGAACTGCGACTGCACCTGAGCAAGAATGACCAGTGTCTATCTGTGACCCTCACAGGCCACTGGGAGTTCATAGGGTAGGGACTCCTACAATCTGGAGGACCTGGGCAGGGCCCTAGAGTGGGTATGATACAGGTTCCTGTGTCTGCCCTGGCAGGGCACTGATGCCCAGTGCAGAGGATGGGGGTGGGGAATCAGGGTGTCTGGGGATCAGGGGTTGAGAGTCAAGCACTAAGGTTCAGGAATTCTGGACAGGACAATTATGCAGGAGCATTGTGGGCTTGAGGCTGAGACTGGGATGGGGTCAGGAATCTGACCTGCCAAGGAGCACACACCACCCACAGTATGGGTCCCTGTGAGCAAGGCAAGATGCACAGTCCAGGTGCTGAGCACAGGAGGCCACGGGAACCTTCAGAAGCTGTGACAGCAAAGAGGACCTGAGGCCAGCAATCCAAACACCAGTGGCTCACCCACAAATGGGTCTCTGGCCCCACCCAGAGGCCCCTCCCAGCAGCCATGCCCTTGTTTATGCCTGGCACTCACTGTGCTCTGGGTCATGACATACAGGTGCTCAAAGTTCCCATCAAAGGTGAGGTCTCTGCTAACTGCAGACCCCTGATGGATGCTCTGTGTGGAGTACGAGTGGCCATCGCTCCCTGGGCCCAAGTAGACCTGGGATCAGAGACCACAGGGTGTGGGATCCAAGTCCATGGGCAGAGGCCCAAAGCCCTCCCCTCCTCCACCCAATCGAAGTAATTTACAGACAGAATTTCCTCCTGGGCAGTCACAGGTCATACCAACCAGCCTAGCGGGGATGGAGGAAAATCACAGGTAAACACCACCCAGTCCTGGGAGAGCAGCTCAGGTCATCTCTCCTGGCCCACGGGTCACAGGGATAGCTTAAACCAGGCTGGGTCCCCAGCAACCTGTTCCCTCCAGACTCTGGGACAGGGGCCAGTACTTCCTGTGGGCTCACCCTGTGCAGCTGCCCTTGACTATCACCCAGGAAAGCAATGGTGTGTCCATCTTCCACGGTGACTGCCACAGCTGTTAGCTGAATCCCTGGCCACTCCAGAATTGGTGTGGCTTCCAGTGGGACCCGGCTCGCCATGGGGCTGGGCGTATGGTCTGAGCCACAGGGATAAGCATCCAGGGTGTCCTATAGGCAGCAAGAAGCATCAGGAAGGCCCTCCCTGGATAACCTCCTTGGCCACATCCTCCCTGGCCAACCTCATTCCCTCCCGCAGCCACTCTGGTAGCTCTCCCTATACAACAGTGTCTTCTCTGCTGGCCCTCCTGGGACAACCCCATCCCTGTCCCCAGTCTCTCTGGGCCCTCCCTAACAACCCTTCCCTGGACAATATCCCCCCAGGTACATCCTTAGCCCTATCGCAGTGGACTGAGCTCCAGTTCTGCTCCAGTCCTTGGGCAGTTTCCAGTGGCTCCTTCCCCCTCTTTTGATCCCCACCGCTGCCTGTGGCCCCACCTTCTCCCATCCCTGGCCTGGGAGTGCTTCCTCCAGTTTCTGTGGTCACCTTGCTCCTGGACCACTTCTCCAAAACCTCTCACAGCCTGCTTTTCTGCTCCAAGTCCACTCACCGGGGCCCTCTCCTGCCTCTGACTGACTCAACCCTGTGTGCAGCTTCTTCCCTTTTTTATCCATCCTGAGGCTACAGCTCATCAATCCCGACCTCACCTTCCTCTCCTGCTCAAGAGCCAAAGGTCTCATTCCATTATAGGTCCCTGTCCCTACCCAAGAACCCCCAAACATCCTCCCAATCCACCTACACTAGGGCCACCCCTCCAGCATCCTAGTCCAAGCCCATCTAGACACTGCTGCCACCCGCATGCCAGGTTTGTGGTAAGGTACCACTGCCCAGGAAACACAGGAAGCACTTAATATCTGCTGATCTGATCATCCTCGTGCTACCACCAGCTGCCCTCGGACACTCTGGGCAGCTCCTTGGCTGCAAATACTTGGCCAGTGGCCTCAGAGAGGGGGAAAAGCAGGGCAACACTGGAACTCACCACTGGCAGCTGTGCACAGTCAGAATTGACATCATACTCGATGTAGGCCACCTCGGTCCCATCCTCAGCACGGCCCTCCCGGGTGTAGCAGGCATCTCGCGTGCGATTAGCAAGCCGGTCCACCTCATCCAGGGGGAAGGCACAGAGGGCAGAGGCTCCAGATGCCCCAGCAGCCACCAATGGGGGTCGGCCCACAGTGGGGGGTGCAGCCGAGGAGAAGGCTGCAAAGAGCACCTCCCCATGCGCCACCTCCCTGGACGTGGCCACAGCTGCAGCCTGGATCAGCCCGTAGCGGCCACCTTGGCAGGCCAGAGGCAACTCCACATAGGAATAGTAGTGCTGGTCCCGGAGGCACACTCGAGACACATAGGCACGAAAGGCTCTAGACTGAGCCTGCAGGTCCCGCCGCAGGAACAGGAAGTAGGCGCTGGCCCCACGTGCAAAGGCACTCACGAAGTGGTGGCTGTACTCAGAGAGGCGGCCCACTGCCAGCTTGGCTGTCTCCTCATAGGAGAAGGCAGCTTGGGGGTCCGGCGGCCACAGGGCCCGGGTTGTGATGGGTGGAATGCCACCCCCCACACCCCTGCTGGTGTATCCTCGCCCCACAAACAGGAGGGGCTCCCCTGCCAAGCCCTGGGCTACCAGCCCCACCGTGCTGACCGCAGGATCATTGGCAGCCACATACTGGGTGTCCCCAGGCCGCTCTGGCCGCAGCAGCAGCTGCTCAAGCTGCCCCAGGCGCCGCTGCTCACAGACCCCCTGGTGCACGCTCCCGCACACCACCAGGGCCCCTGGGCTCACCAGGAGCAGCTGGTTCGGGTTGTTGGTAGGCTGGGCCTGGGGGCACTCATCAGGCATCACAGGTGGCAGGCAGTCCCTGCTGTCTAGCACAGGGCCGGTGGACACTGAGGCCTCCAGCTGCAGCCCAGGGCTCAGCTGGAACAGGAAGTTGGTGGCCCCCAGGTAGAGGGTGCCTGAGGTGGGGTCTCTTGCCAGGTGCTGCAGATACGTGCCATTGGGAGTGAAAGCAGCTGGTGGAAGGGGCTGGAGGGTGAGGACCCACCCAGCCCAGAGAGCCTGGAGAAGAGCTGGGCCCAGGGCAGGCATGGTCACCTGGCAGGGAGACAGGTCGAGAGAGTGGGGCTCATGTGGCTGCCAGAGCACCCTGGGGCCACTGGTAAGGGATAGGACTGTGGCATTGCCAAGATGCCCCTCCTAACCTAGGGGGTGAGCAGAGGAGGACCAGGCTTCTTAGACAGGCACTATGTCCAGGATGACCTCAGGACCACACACTAGAACGAGGTCAGAAATAGGAGATACTTCCTAGACAACACTGCCCATTCTTGGCAGGCACGATTCTCTAAGGAGACCTGCACCCCACTCACCATCCCCCCAGATCAGAGGGTGAGGGGCTGGAGAGGCCATGCCCAGGAAGCAGGGTCTGGATGGGGCAGGAGAGCAGGTGATGGGAAGGAGGGGCCCAGACCCCAAGAAAGGAGAGGCTCTACATGGATGAGGGTTTCCCAGGCAGAAGGAGGAAGGAGAGGGAGGTCTCCTGAGCCAGCAGAATGTTAGAGCAAGACAAGAGTTGGGGGCAGGGCCTTTCAGGCCAGGAATCCAGAAGGGTAATAACCACAGAACCAAGAGGCCTGAGAGATGTGAGGAGGCTCCAGCTCGGAGGGGTGGGGCCTGAAGGGCTGCACCCCACCTCCGAGAGCCCTCAGAATAGGTAGGAGTCATGCTGTTCCTAGATATCTAGTGTGAGGTCAGGCTCACCTGGCAGGGCTGGCTGGATCAGGAGACAACAGCATGACCCGTGTGGGAGTCACCTAGAAGAGGGGAAAGCCGAGTGTGAAGCTGGGGCCTGGGCTGCAGGCACATGGAAGCCCTGGGCTCCCCACTGGGGAGGCAGCACAGAAGCACCCCCTCCCCACCGCCCAGCCTGCTGGTGGAGCTGGGCCCAGCCTGGCCCCTGGCCACCAAACACATTCCACAGAGGACGCCTCCTCGGAGCCCACACGAGGAGGGGGAGGGCGGCAGAGCCAGGCACCCGAGGGGCCTGGGAAAGGTCAGCTAGGAAGGAGCCCCACGGCTGGCAGGGTCCAGCCAGGCCCCCAGCATGGCCCTCTCCCTGTGAGGTCCCTCTCTCTGCTCAAACTTCACCTTGTAAAGGAACCCAGGTATACACCCTCTACACGGCCAGGGGCTGTCCCAGCCCAAAGGGCTACCAGCGCTTCAGCAGACAGGCACTCGCACAGCAAGATGCATACACACCACCCACCCTGCATGTGTACGCCTACAACACACACACACACACACACACACACACACACAGAGATGCAGATGCCATCTATACACACAGCACAGTGACACACACAGACACAGCCACCCATGTTCAAACACCACATGAAGACACATCCATATCGACACACAGGAACACACACACGTCACACTCACCTGAGACATTCAGACCACCACTCACATTTAGACACACACACACATTCATGCACACTCCCCTCGTTCGAGAGTACTCAGTTGGAGCCCTACATATAGAGAGCTGTAGAAGCTAGGCCATCTCTTGCTATTTCCTCTCCTGCACTTCAGAGTAGTGCCAGGACCCAAGATGTGGGCTAAGTGGAGTGTGTCCTGGAGGAAGGTGCCATGCCTGGCTGTTCCCAGGCCCATCACCAGGACCTCCCCAGACTTTGGGTGCCTGCTCTCTACACAGACCCCTTCTTGGGCCCCAGCTGAGGCTCCTGAGTCCCTGAACCAAGAAACTATGGCAACACCACCTTCCCCAGTGGTCCCCAGCCAAGAGCACCAAGGTTGGTGAAGTCCTGGGACAGACAATGCATCTCAGACTGGGAGACACTTCCCCTACTTGCCTGTGCCCAGGCCACGTTGCCCAGCCCCTCCCATCACCCAGCTGCCAAGCTGCCTGCGCAAAATATCAAGCGCTTGCTTCTCCCAGGTCGGCTCATCCTAGCTGAGGCCTGAGCAGCGTACTCCTGAGGCTGCCCCAAAGTGAACAGGGCTGGGCACAAGGCTCAGGGGAGGGTCCAGCAGCCTGGTGGAAGCTGGGACACTGTGGCCACAGCCCGGTGGGAGCAGGGGGGCCGTGGTCACAGCCTGGCTGGGCACTGCTCCCGAAATAGCTTGGGGGTTTCCATTTTTAGTGTGCAGAAAACAGGGCAGCTCTATGGGAGCAGGAACAAGGCTGCCTCTGTTTGCCACCCAAGGGGGCGGGGGGGAAGGGGGCAGCAGGGAAAGTCTTGAACCCGGCCAGGATCCCAGGACTGTGGCAAGACCAGGCTGCCCAGGAGCCCCCCACCTAGTTTCCAAGGGATGAGGAAAGAAAGTTTCTTCCCATGGGAAGACAGAGTCCACCTGAGGATGGGCAGAGGTCATCTCTTGCACGGGGCTACTGTTCAATTCTCCTGCCACCGCATGCCAGGGATGGGCCTTGGGCACAGGGTCCCATAGTTAGACCAATACTCACTCCTACATGTTTACAAATATTTGCTCAGAGCCTACTGCATGCCAAAGTTCTCCAGCCCTCAAGGGGCAGCAACAAAACCACTCCCCATATGTGATATCAAAACTGGATTGATGGATGACAGAGCCTTGGGAGATGAAAAAATAGTAATAATAATAATTAATTTAAAAAAAAAAGAACACTGGATGAGGAGACAACAGGAAGAAATGGGTGGGATCAGAACAGCTCCTGGCCAGGCCACCGAGGAGATCGGCCGCTGACCCACTCCAGGGAAAGTGGTCAGGCTTCTGCAATCAGTCTCCCTGTGAATCAGGACCTAGCACCCCTTGCCCCTCCACACATACCATGGGTAGCTGAAGGAGGAGAGAAAGAAGAGCAGTGCGTTTTTCTCTTCCATTTCAGGCACATGGATTTCACTTTATCTCTGCCACAGGCCACTGAGCAGCTCCCAGCCCCTCCAATCTAGCCTCCCAACTCCCAACTTCTTGGGGCTTTACTTGAGTAGAATTGGAGTACACCCCTCCCCCAAAAGCCTCTGGGGCACCCCAGAGCAGGAGGGATAAAGGCCCACCCCTCCAGTCCACACCTCTCCCACCCGATCCATGCCAGTGCTCCCCCACAAATGCCCTTCGTTCCTGCCAGCCTGAACTGCAGGCTGCCTCGCTCCTCCAGCTGCCGCACAGGCTCTTGCCGCTGCCTGGAATGCCCACTCCCTCGCTATCCCATTAACTCCTACACCAACCATCTTCTAACTGGGGAGCCTCCCCTGTCCTCCCAGGCTTCTGAGGAGGCCACTGCATGCAGTGGACAGAATGGACGCACCTAGCCAACACTCTGACAGGCACGGCTGCTCGGCCTCAGGCTCTCCGAGCCTCAGATTTCCTAGCTGTACAATGGGAAGAAGGATTGCTCTGACCAGTAAACATGATACAGCATGTGCCTGGCATTAGTGATGCCAGCCAGAGTCACTTTTCTCCCAGTTCCACCCTCCTACTCTGGACTTGAAGCTCCTTGAAGGCAGGGAGTATGCTTTCGATTCAGAGGCCCCGGCAACTTGCACAGACTTCAGCACAGACCAGATGCTCCCTGCATGGTGAACGTACCCCCATTTCACAGCCAAGAAAACCCAACAAATAGGGGAGATAGAAGGCCCACAATCCCTCCAAGCCACTTGGTCTCTCAAAGGGAAGACGTTGGCCCCACTTTTGTTAATGACCAGGCCAGGGCAGACTGAAAAGGCTGATCTAGAACCAGACCTCACATCCCCAACTTACACAGCCTGGATCTCCTGCCCACTCCCAACATCTGAGGCCCTGTTCAGGCTCACAGCCAAAGCCTAATTCTGCCTGTGCCCAGGCCTGCCTGGAGTCTCTTCTGGGCCCACCCTACTCTGAACCTTTTCAGGGGGCCCAAGACTGCCCAACTTTTGTCTGCAGAGCAAGCACCTCCCGGACCCCCGTGGAGCTGTCCTCGACAACAAAAGGGGCTCACAAACCCCGCCATTCCGCACCTGCAGAGGGGCCATAGGACAGCCCACATTTGCCTTGCTTTCCAATTAGTGGGAAGCCGGCCTTCCCGTTTCAACCTCCTGCTCAGCTTCCAGGGTCCACTACAGAGGTGAGTTATTCATTGACAGTGCAGCAGTGCCCGCTGCTCGCCCTGTTTTCTGTGTGTTGAGGAGGGGTGGGGAGATCCACCATTTACCAGGCACCTGCGATGACCCCAGGCGCTGATCGATCACCCACTGAATATGTCTGTGTGTGGAGAGGAGGGCCCCCCTCTGGGGGTCAGCAGGCTCGAGGTCCGCCTTTGTCAGTCCCACCGGGAGCAGCCAGAAAGGGCTGTTACTACTGAGGGGAAGCCCCGACCTCCCCACTCGGCTCGTCCTTGACCCTCCCCAACCCCCGGACCCCGAGGCGAGGACCCCATCAGTGGCCCTGGGAGGGCGGGGAAGGGGCCGGCCGGTCCCCGGTGGCGGCGGCGAGGAGGGGGCGCGGAGGAGCAGCTCCACCTCCTCAGTCTCCCAATCGCGTTCCAGGCGGAGCCGCCAGAGTTTCCCTTCGCGCGGAGAAGTGTGGTCCCAACTCTCAAAACCAAAGTCGCCCACCACTCACCCAGGCCGCCCCTGCCCGGCAGGATCGAGGCCCCGAGCCGTTCCACCTCTGGAGCCCCGGTCCTCGCCGCCCCGGCCCCGAGCCCCGCACTCACCACCCGGCCAGGCCCCACGGGATGTGCGCGCCGAGGCGGGCGCCGGCCGCTCCGCGCTCGGGCTCCGCGCGCAGCGGCCTCCCCCCGGGTCTGGCGGAGCCGCAGCTGTTACCCGGAGACCGAGGGGCGGAAAACTGCGCCCGCTGCCCGCCCCTCCCGCGCGACGCTGCCACCGCCGGGAACAAAGGAGACAAAGCCGCGTCGGCCGGGCCCGGCTCCGCTCCTTCCCCCTCGCCTGCCGGGCTGCCCTCCCCCCGCCCGCCGCCCGAGCCAGGCCGGAAGCAGCCCGGAGAGCCGGGCGCGCGGCCCCGAGCCGCCCGGGACCCTGCATTCCAACCCCGCGGGCTCAGCGTCGGCCGAGGGCTGGGGATCCGACCCCTCCCGCACGCGGGAGGGCGGGGGCGGGTTGCACAGCGGCGGTCGCCATGGCAACGCCGGTAGCCCAGAGGGGTGAGGAGTGAACCCCGGGAGCCAAAGCCGCCCCGCCCCGTCGGCCTCACCTGCGCGCCGCCTTGGAACCGGAACTGGGAACTTTCCCGGTTACTAGGGGCCGAGGCGGAGGGTCGCGCTCCGCACCCGCAGGTGCTGGTGGAACAGCGCCCTGGCCTCTTCCCGCCCGTCCAGAGCCGGGTCGCACCCGGGTCCCTCACCTGCCCGACCCGTTCTCCTGCCAGCGCCCGGCCTCGCCCCGCGCCCGGAGCTCCTTACCCGGCTCCGGTGGTCATCCTCCCCAACTTTCTTTACCTGAACTCCGAAGCGCCTTGTTTCTCCCCTGCGCACCTGGCCCTGCCCACCGCCCCTGCTCCCAGTACTCCCCAACAACCAGTCCCTCCTTCCGGCCCCACCTCTGGCTGTTTGAGAACATGGGCTTTGGACCTGGGCTTGCGCCATCAACTAAGCCATGTAACCTGACACCAACCCCCCCAGCCTATTTGCTCACCAGCAAGTGGGGGTGATACCACCTCTAGCGGGGCTGTGAAGGCAGGGCACCTGGGCTGCAGAGGCGCACAAGCAAGGGCTCACTTCCTTCCTTTCTTCCCAGCCCAGGACCCAGACCTGGACCCACCCCAAGCTGAGAAGCATTGAGCAAGTCTGGGCTCTCTCACTGGCAAACACCTGGGCCTTCTGCGGGAGGAAACACTGGCAGAAGGGTTCTTTCCTGGGGACCATTTGTCCCCTGTGCAGGGCCATTCACACCCTGGCACGCCCACGGCTAACTCAGGAGCCAGAATCTGGCCCATCCGATTAGGACTTTTGGAGGACTTTGGCTAAAAGCCATTGGCACAGCTTCCTGGGAGGCAAAAATGTCACACGCATCATCTGAAAGCCTCCAAGGCCTCCACAGGCTAGCTGAACCTCAATCAAGAGATTCAGGTCATCCACACTGGCTACTGCCCTAGAGCTACAGACACCCTCTTCCCACCTCCCGCCAGCTATCAAGGGTCTCCCGTCAGGTCACCCCTTTTCCTCCACTCCCACTTCCAGCATCTGAGTCCAGGTGCTTAGCACCTTTTCTGCAGCAGCATAGCAATCCCTCCCTGGATCCCTCACCCTTAGCCTCTCACCTCAGACTGCCAACCTGGTACCCCGGGCCTCTGACTTCATGCTGCGCAACTCCCCCACACTCATCACCACCCCAGCCAGGACAGTCTGCCCCAGTCCCTCACCCACTTTGGCTTTCCTGCCTATGTAGCTTGCAGGAGCCCCCTTCACATGCACAGAATCCCTCCCTCCCCAAATCCATTCATCCAAGCACACACCCTTCAGGACCTATCTCACCTCAGAGGAAACTGGGTCTTCCAAACCCCACAACCCCCTTCATCTGTACACAGATACGATACCTACTGCCCTATGAGGAATGTGAACACTCTAAGCGAGGGTCTTTCCATCCCATGCCATTCTGGGGAGCCATTACTCGCCAAGGATAGAGTGACTGAGGGACCAGGTGCTGAGAACCTGAGGTGGGGGGCATTTGGGCCATACTCACTGCCCAAGACTGAACACAGGCTCCAAGAAGAAAGTATGCCTTATGGGAAACACTCCTGGCTCCACAGGCTCTGACAGCTCTGCACAGACACCAGTGAACAAGCCCCCACCTGCAGCCCCTGCATACAGCTACCCTGCGCTCTCAAAGGGGAGTGGGTTCTCTGGAACGTGCCTGACTTCCAATACTCCAACACCAGGACTGAATACTAGCCCAAAGCTCCTGTTTACTCAGGGCACACAAGGCCACCCATGGCCATTTAGTCCAGGAGGTCATGGGTCACTGTTCCCCTCTGAAAAGAGATCATACACATGCCCCCACTGCACCTCCCACCCGTGGGAGACCCCCTCTTCCCTATCACTGCCTCTCCATGCACACTCCTGGTGTCCTGAGCTCTGCCTATGCCTGTGGAAGATTTCCCCGGGCTGTGTGGAGGTGCACCCAGCCCCAGTGGCACACCAGTGCTGCCCAAAGCACTCTCTATACCAGGGATCCAGATTGGCCATCAATTCCCATACTTATGTCCCCAGCAACATTTATCAACCATTCTCCCAGTCTTTCTTCCCTGCTTTCCTCTGATCACTCCTCCAGTACTAGAACCAGGAAGTTCTCCCCCACATGGTAGAGAAAGTGATCCAGGAGATGGGAAGTAACCGTGGTCACCAATGAGTAGGCAGCTGGCTAGGTTCCACTCGCTGGAACTCCCAGGCCATCTGACATCGGACAGTCAGGTAAGTGGAGGGCAGGCCAGGAAATTCAAAATGAAAATCTAGGCCTCAGGAGTGCATCCATAACAGTTCAGAAAAGAGGACAGACAGGAGATGAGAGAGGAACTAAAGGGGGTGACTACCCCAACTCCAGGCCCAACCTTCAAGTCTTGGATCTTGATTCTCAATGAAAAAAACTCAGTCTGATTGTTTTAAATAATAAAACTCAGGATATTTTAATTGGACATTAGCACAAAGTTTTGATAATTAATGTAAATGAACCTTGTCTGCAAAGTGAAGTGTGCCTGCTGGTGAGTGACACAGATGCTGCTCCTTCAGATTGAGGTTATACACACCCCCAAAGGCTCACTTCATTGCTACAAGTCTCTAACTAAATCCACATTTACAGATATTGCCTCAGACCCTCTGGAGGAGGGGCCAGGGGTTAGCTGGCTCTGAATAGCATGTAGAGCACAGGTAGTGTGGCCACAAATGTCACACAGGTGACCAGGGTGCTGTAGATGGTGTTCCTGTTGACTTGGGCTTCTAGTCTCTGCTCCGTGTCCGACAGTGCCAAGATCATACTCCCCTGCTCTAGCAAGGAGCTGGGCATAGCCCCGTCTGCTGGTTCCGCCAGGCCTGGGTGTGCTGCAGCCTTTACAAGCTGAACCACCCCAGCCATTTGGCTACAAGTCTTTTCTAGGCCATCAAGCTGCTCTCGTAAGCCTTCTAGACATGAATGGACTTGCCTGGAATGACTGAGCTGCTCTTTCAAGGCAGCTGAAAGGACGTCTACATCTCTGTCTCTGGTAGGGGGAGTACCTGCCTGTGACCCAGAGCCCTGCCCCGGCCCAACAGCATGTACCAGGCCTCTCAAGTCCACCATGAGATTGTGGAGGTCCCTCTGCTGGAGGGAGTAGCTAGACGCCTGTTCTCGAATGGCCTCCTGGAGACTCACAGGCCCCTTCTGTGCCTCCAGGAGTAAGGCCTTCAGCTCCTGTAGCCGGACACGGTTCACATAGGTGGAGCCAGCCACACCAATCAGGGCCCCCAGGACTGAGCCAATGAGGGACCAGTTCTTGGTCCTCTCCGCCCTTGTGCGCTCCTTCTCATGACTTTCCCGCACAGCTGCAGAGAAGAGGGAGAATTTCTCGCGCTCAGAGTCTTCTGCACGCAGATAGGCTGTGCGAAGTCTCTTCTCCTCCTGCAGAAGCAAAGCCATGTTACTGGGTTACATGGGGACAAGGTGGCCCTGCAGCTATAGCCACCAACAGATGGCTCACTACCTTGTGCCTGGCAGAGTACATGTTCCATAGACCCCTGCTGAATGAATGAAGGTAGCACGAACCCGGCTGGGTCAGAGGGGCAAAGGAATTGGGAGTGAGCAAAGTGAGTTACATGATCGTCCCACCTGAGCAGTCCTGGGTTTGACCAGAGGTATACTTATGTCTACACGAAGGGAAGTGTCCAGCACTTCCTGGGCCAGCCCCTCCATGGTTCTCCTTCCTCAGCATTCTGGGTCCCAGGCTACACTGCTCTGAACAGTTGGCCCCTGTACTCCAGAAGAAAGTAGATGGACAGGCTCTGGAAGCTTGGGGTTCTGTCCCTCCGTAGGAGCTTCTGGTTCACCTCTGTACCAGGCTTCTGATTAAGGACCAGTCAGGGTTCCCACCTGGCCCCTCCATGATCTGCCAGGCGAGGGTCACTGTCCAGGTGTGAAAGGATTGCCTCCTGAGGTGCCTACCTGCAGCATCCTGTGCTCGAGAGTAGCCAGTTCCAAGTACTGACTGTCCTCCCTGGAGACACGGTCCAAGCGGTCCCTCACCTCCTTCAGCTTGGCCTGGTGAACTTCCAAGTCCTCCCGAGCCTCTCGGACAAGCCCTCGGGCCACCATGAACACTTTCTCAGCCTGCAAAGAGAAAACCGGAGGCCATCTGCACCTTCTCTCCACACCCACACAGGCTCAGCTGCATTCCCAGCGAGGCTGTGGCTAAGAAGAGGTCACTGGGGTGTGAGCTGCAAAGGGTGGAAACGGAATTCCTTAGACACTAATCCTGGCTCACCCAGTGGTGTTCAAAGTGCAGCCTTGGGCCACACCCATCAGAATCACGAGATTCAGCCATTCAAGCAGAAATAACATGCCCCTGAAAAAACTTGAAAACAGCTAACAATGCACACAATTTGTGTCCATCAAACCTGTGTTGGTAGGCTTGTGTTGGTAGGCTGTTTCCCGTGTGTTGCCTTATATATGCCTCATAACAATGCCATGAAAGGCACTGCTGCAGCCTACAGTTTATAGACCTGGAAACACCAGCTCAGCCAAGCTCAAAATCTCCAAGGAAAGAAATGGCACTGTTTGTCTCAAAGCCCCCGCTGAACCCCAGGTTCTTCCCACCTTGCTACACTACTCCATGCCTAAGCAGGAGTGGGAACAAAGATGACAGAATGCTTTTCTGCCACCACAAAGGACTTGACAACCACAACTCGCTCTTTCCACTCACAGTGTGACATTTCCTACTGCCCTCTACCTTCGCAAAAGATGTTGTAATTACACACAGTAACAGTACTGCAGCAAGCCCCAGGTAACTTTCACCATCAATCCCCAAACAGTTCACAAAGGAAGTATTTGCTGGCCTCACAGACTGGATGTTAGTGGCCAGGGACTTATTAGTACACAGTAACTGTTTTTAGAGAAAGTAGGTGGCACAGTTACATGGAGACCTTCACCCCAGAAGCATCAAGCCCAGGTTTCCACATGAGAAATGAGGCCAAACACAAGTCTGGATGTGGCTACCCAGCACCACGTGACTGGTTTGGCACATTTCCCAAGTCAGAGGGCAGGGCCAGCCACCCCAGCTCCCCTCCTCACCTCTGTCACCTTTCCCTGGGCCTCTCGAACCTCATTGAGTCCAACAAACTCTTCATATCTATCCCACCAAGTCTTGGCTGTGGAGGTCGCTCGTTGCTGAATGCTGTGCCCCAGGGCTCTTCCCAGTGCTGGGAGGCGGTGATGCAGCCCGAGGGCCACTTCCTCAGGTCTTTTCTCTCTGGGTTGGCTTGGGCCTGGGCTGCAGAGAGTCCTGGTCATAAAGAGGTCCCTTCCAAGGAGGCCCCTCCGGACCAGTATGCGGGGC